CAAAGTAGCAGTAATAAAAATACTTTGAAATTACTAAGAATAGACACATAGACTAATAGAATAGAGAGCTTAGAGACAGACTCATGTACTTATGGGAATTTAATGTATATTCAAGGAGGCTCCACAAGTCAATGGGGGAGATATTAACTCTTTGATGATGTTAGAAAAACCAGCTTACTCTTAGAGTAACAAAACTTTATTTCCACCTGACACTTATACAAAGGTTGACTTCAGATGAATTAAAGACTAACTGTGAAAAGTAAAATTATAAAAGAAGGTATTTTTAGAGGCTATTTTTGAGATAGGGAAGTACAGATCATAACAATTTGATCATATTATACATAAGGACCTTTTAACAAAGAATACCATAAACAAAGTTGCCAGGTGGACAGATTAGAGAAGATTATTGGAAGTATTTATAACATTTGGATCCCCATACTGGCCAGCTGCACACAAAAAAAGAGAGAGAGAGAGAGAGAGAGAGAGAGAAATTTATAATGAACAAGAGAATAACAGCAAAATCAACAAGAGAAAGAAGCTCCAGTAGCAATGTGGGCAAAAGACAAAGACATGCAATTTATAAAAGAGGAAATTCAAACAAGTGTAAATGCTAACAAGCATATAACAGAGTTATCAGGGAAAAGCAACTTAAAAACATGATGAGACTGGCAAGAACTAGAAAGCTCCATAATACTAAGCACTGGGAAGGATATGGACGTTTAGGAACCCTCATGCACTCGTAGTGGAAGTATAGACTGGTGTGGTCTGTTCTGGAGGGTAATCTGGCAGGATTCAATAAAATTAAGTATATTGTACTCTATAACCTAGTGGTGATGTTCCTCGGAATCTACCTAAAACGTCCCCACAAGTTTATAAGGGAGTATGTATGAGGCATTCATCATGGTGTTGTGTCAGTTACTATAAAGTGGGTAGATGAGATGGGGGGATAATCCTGTAGAGTCCTGTGCAGCAGTTAGAAACAACAGATTAGCCATATACACAGTACACTGGTGGAGCTTTAGAATGTACTAAGTGCAAAAATAAGAAGATGAGATCCAAAGCACAGTATGTGGGTATCTCTATAATGTGGCTATCATTTTTTGATTTGTATTCTTTCCCATCTATGAGGGTACTTCAAAAAGTTTGTGGAAAGATAGAATTAAAAGATAATACAAATCTTTCTGTGAACTTTTTGAAGTACCTTCATATGTGTGTATTTTAATCGTGCTACATTACCTAGAAGCTTTTTAAAAAATCTATATTTTTCTTTTCAATTTTTTCTATAACCGTAACATTAAAAGTTGCCCCTGAGACATCCACTTCTGAAAATAAGTAAACTAGATTTCTTGAACTAGCTCCCAATACAAAACACCTAGGAATTCTGGGTAAAATATAACAAACATCTTTTTATAGTCATAGGGGAGCTCATAAGAAAGGAAGAAAATCTCCGGAGGCTGAAAACAAAGAGAGAATTAAAATCGAGAGAGCTAAGCTGACAATGACACTGACAGGGCCTTCATGGCATTTACCAAGCTTGGTTTTCAAAGGCTTAGGTTTGAGTGGCCCCATGAGAACGGAGAAAGGCCTTAAGTGAATGAGTGGTGAAGAGTAAACCCACCATGTAGAACTTTAATTCTTGAACGGCTATAGCTCCAGTGAAAATATGGACAAGGAAAAAAATTGGCCTGCCAGCAAAAAAAAACAGCAGCAAAAAAAGTGCCTCAACGTGGGCTCCAGGAGGTGGAAAAAAGTATCCTCTGAGAATTCATAATGGCAGACCTGCCTTTCTGTACATTTGAATTTTTTATTACATGTGTGGTAAACCCCATGTGAACAAATGAAAATGAAATCATCCAGAATTTATCATACATTGGTTTGGCAGATGTCATGGCAAATTCTTTCTGTAGGGATGCATGCTATGGTTTGAATGTTTGTGTCCCCTCCAAAATTCCTGTTGAAACTTAATCCCTAATGCAACAGTATTAAGAAGTGGGGCCTTTAGGAGATGATTAGGCCATAAGAGCTCTGCCCTCATGGATGGGATTAATAACTTTGTAAAAGGGCTGGAGGGAACTTGCTAGGGTGTTTTGCCCTTCCATCCCTTCTGCCACATGAGGACATAGTCTTCAAGGTGCCACCTTGGAAGCAAAGATCGGGCCCTCACCAAACACTGAATCTGCTGGCACAGAACTGTGAGAAGTAAATTTCTATTTATAAATTACCCAGAATGGTTCAGATCCCCATATTGGCCACCTGCCAAAAAATAAATGTATTTTCCAAATATATATATATATATTTATATATGTATATATATTTTCCAAATATATATATATATATATATTTGGAAAATATATATACATATATAAATATATATATATATATTTATATATGTATATATATTTTCCAAATATATATATATATATAATTACCCAGTCTAAGGTATTTTGTTATAGAAGCAGGAACAGACTAAGACAACCCTCGACCAAAGTCTTGCAGGATTCCCATAAGTAAATCCCTGCTCAACTTGAGCTTCATACCCAAAATTAGAAAACATGAAAGAATCAAACCACCATGAACAAGAAACAGCAGAATTAGTACCTCCAAAATTCAAAAAATTGAAATATCAGGTACAAAATACAAAGAAAGTGCTTAAAGAAGTAAAAGTGGAACTGAAAACATTAACAAAATTCTATCAAAAAGGTCAGTCAGATTTGAAAACTTGAAATTCTAGAAATGAAAAGTACCTATTGAAATGTGAAACTCAGTAACCATTAAAACAGAAGAATAAACCCAGCAGAAGGGGGAAAAAATTAGTAATCTGGAAGAGAGAACTGAAGAAATTGCCTAGAAAGCACAAAATTTGAAAGTATGAAAGAGAAACAAAGTGACAGGGAAGACAGAATGAGGATTAAAATACATTTCATTGGAGTTCCAGAAGAAAAGAAGAGAGGCAGTATTTGAATAGGAAGTGGCTGAAAATTTTTATAACTGCTGAAAGAGCAGGAATCACCAAATCCAGATATCATAGTGAATCCAATACAGAAATAATTTAAAAATTCACATAAAGACACATCCTAGTGGAAGTTTAGAACATCAAAGACAAAGAAAAGATTTTAAAAGCCAACTGAGAAAAGGTTACTTATAAAAGAAGACAGTTATACTGATTACATACATCTCAACAGCAACAATTTAAGCCAAAAAGTAGAGCAGGAATTTTTCAAAACACTGGGGAAAATATCAATTTCAAAGTACATGCACAGCTAAGGTATTATTCAAAACCAATGGCAAAATAAAGACATAGTCTTCCCTAAAGAAAGACTGAAGGATGTACGTACACAAAAAGAAAGAACTGAAGAGCAAGGAGGAATAGTTACCAAGGAAATTGATAGGTACTTGAAATCTAAAGCATTGGCTGAAAAGCAATAGTAATTACTAATATAGGAAGTAAAAAACAAGAGAAAACTGAAATATGAGACCACAGTTTAGAGTTAAATCTATAGACCTTTAATTGTTTAGGAGAAGGGTGGTGATATTGATTTACCATAGACTTTAAGTTGTATCCATATCAAAATTTGAAAGGCAATTATTCACATCTTGGGCACAAGGGGTGACAATCAGCTTTGAATCTCATGAATATTCATAACCCATAAAAAACAAACAAAAAAAAAAAAAAAAGAAACATAGAATATAACTTCCTAAGTAGAAAAGGAAATGGTTTAAGAAGAAATTTTAGTTAAAAAAAAAAAGCAAATAAACTAACAAGGAAAATTGTTAACCTTTTAGCCCACTACCATATTTAAACAATAATCCATCCCTTTTCCCACTTTGTAATCTATGCCAATTTGCTAGAGTGCTTAGGACTTTCTGCATGGAATGTTTTAATGTCTTCATGTCACCCATTCCTCAAAATGAGTCATGTTTCAGCTCTTGCCCTGCTACATCATCCCCTCCACGAGAGACCATCTCTTCTATGCCAAGACTTAGCAAAGACCAAGATATGCAGCATGCCTGCCCCCTACCTTTCATTCTCGCTACACTAAGAGGCCAGCAGCAGAATGGCTAATAGACTTCCTGAGACTCAGTACCTGTTGCATGGGGCAGGATCACACTTGGGTTCTTCCCAATGAGCACATTAAAATAATGCACTTGGAAAGTAAAGAAAATATAAAGAAGAAAATGAAAACTTTACTTGTTAATCCTCCCATCCCAGGATTACTCACCATTATCATGTTGGTTTATTCCTGCGGACTTTTTCCTAGGTGTAGAGTCACAGTGTATATGCTATTTTGTATCCTGTGCTTTTTAGTTACCATTGTGTCATGGGCATTTTTCATATTATTTAAGTTTTTTCAAGAGCATAATTTTTGGTGCATTGTTTTGATGCACTGGGCCATGTCTTTATTTTCTTTCTCAAGTGCTTCTCTACCTGCTAGCTATACCATTCCATCAGGCCTGAGAGCACACTGCCTCTTACAGCACTAGTACCATGAAATCAGTCTTGAAACATCTCCTGAGATTTTTGCACTTTACAGATCTATGGTAGTTCCTTTCAGTTTAGATGGATGAAGTTGGTGCCTGTTCTGAATATTCATTTGTTCCCAGTAGCCCAGCTTTGCTCTGACTGATGTTGCAATTCTTTCAGTCCGGGAGAGATGGTCTGTGGCCTCTAGGAGGGAGTCTTGTCCTTGCCACGGGACAGCTTGTAAGCACTGCACTACCGTGATTGGTGAACAGCCCTAGCAATGAGGCCAAAATCACACTCACCATCCCTGTCCCCTCTGGCAGCTGTGCACTGGGCAAAATGTGGTTCACAAGCATCTTCCTGGCCCTGGATGCCCCAGAGATGTCTGGATGAGGGGTGAGCAGCTTAGCAAAAACCCACCAGAGGGTTCATCCTATGGCTACAGCAGGTCACAGTTGCCCTGTCTGTGTCAGGCAGCCCAGGCTTTATACACCCTGATAAAGCCATCGCACACCTCATACCCATGTTTCTGTGACAGGTTTTTGTCCAGCGGTGCCTGGCAGGGAAGAACATGTCTCACATAAAAGGCGGCTGCCTCCTGTGTGGGTACCTGAACCTGCTGCCCATGTTTAGTATAGTGATGCCAGGAATGATCAGCCGCATCTTGAACCCAGGTAAATTCTTAATTCTGTGTTCACACTTATCAACTTCTCCTCTCTTAGAGATCTAGAGTATTTGGGATTATCAGGTCTTGCACAGTATACTAAGGTGTCCCAGAGTGCTTCCTTGGGAGCTATTGGGTTAGGTCACTGAAGTGTCCCAGAGTGCTTCCATGGGAGCTATGGTGTTAGTATTGAAAAGCAGCTGAGCAGAAGTCTGGCAGAAATTAGATTTGGGTAGCAAGAGAGAAATTCCAGGGAGATAAATTTAGGCAGGAAAGAGCAGATCAATGTGTTTTCTCATGGGTCAGAGCTTCTCTCCTTCCAGCAGAGGCCCAGTCCCTGCCATGATTTTGAGATAAGAGTCTGCAGGAAGGTTGGGTTACTCCATCCCATCACAAACATCATCTGGCTGGGCATGCCCTGTGTTCCAGGCATGCTCTGGGCTCTTCCACATGCTGTTGCTGCTTCTCACAGCCCCAGAGGTAGGCTTTCACAGCATTATTGAACTCATGAGGCATGTTGGAGTGAGCTTGGTGTAACCCCCAAAGTGGGCCTGACTTCAAGGTCTACGTTCTTTCCATTAAATACTATTAAAACATCCCTGCTTCCTTTATTGGGCAATCATAATTCCGTGGATGTATCTCATCCCCATTTCAGCCTAGTATTACTAGCTCATCCTCTGTTTATTCATTAAAGTATATGGAGCTCTTACTGTGATAGGTGGAGCCACAGGGGCAGAGCAGGTGACTTCCAGGATAGTCTCTTGCTGCAGTGCTTTTGACAAAGCCAAACAAAATGTAGACCATTTTTTATTGTAAGTAACGTGCAGTAGAGATCTCTAACCCTAATTCATCCTTCAGTCTGCCCCTGAGAAATGTGTCTTTGTAAAAGATCCTAATTCCAGGGCCAGCCCATGGCTCACTGTGGAAGTGTGGTGCTGATAACACCAAGGCTGCGGGTTTGGATTCCTATATAGGGATGGCCAGTTAGCTCACTTGGGCCTGCGTGGTGCTGACAACACCAAGTCAAGGGTTAAGATCCCCTTACCGGTCATCTTTTAAAAAAAAAAAAAAAAAAAAGACCCTAATTCCTTTCCACTGTTAACATAGAGGAGTGCTCTGTTTCAACATTCCCAGATTTGTTGTTCGGCTGTCAAGTGTAGCTTTGTTAGATCTCAGAGGTGGTGCTTCATTATAGGTTAGAAAATAGACCCTTATGCTCTTCAAGACCTTGCAGTCTCAAATACTCTGAAATAATACCCCTATCAGGGCTAAGGGAGTATGTGCTCACACATTCATATGTGGACAGATAATCTGTTTGCTTTCCTAACACCCAGCCGGGATGACTGAAAGGCTTATTGAGATCACATGACTTGCTTTGGGTCATGCAGTGAATTGGTAGAAGCACCAATTCATTTGACTTGTAGGTGCCTGACTCCTAGTCTTTTCCTCCACCCAAGCTCCTATAGAGTGTTTAGGATCATGAATGGGGACAGTTGCCAGTGGACCAAGAATCTAACATCTACATATGAATATATGATTCCTAATTTGCTTCTTTTTCCCTGAGCTCAGATTTTAAAGCTTTAAGACCAGCATGCTGATATGTCTGTTATCTCTTTGCAGATAAAGTGGCATGTGTTGTACCTTCAGAATGTCAAAAGTACTGTGGCACCAAAAATGGTTGCAGCCCCATTGCCTACCCACTACTGATGATAGAGCTGCTACCCAGTGGTAAGAAATGGGTCCTGCTGCTGAAGCCATGGAAACCTCATGATCTGTGTCCCCATTGGAGCCTGTGCCTCAGGCTCTAAGTGGATGGGTAGGAGCAAGGAGGCTGGGATGACTTATCTACCAGTCAGTCCATCATTCCAGGTGGAAATGCAGGCTGTGGAGTGGGAGGGATGTTGGGGCTGCAGAGCGAGGCTTGCTTGCCCTGATGGAAGGCTCAGGGCCTCCCTCTCCATTCCTCATGCACCCACGGGGCTCGTCATCTCAGAAGCAGAACATGTGCATGCTATTTGCATTATTCAGTTCACCTGCTTAGCTCGCTCTTTTGCTTATTCACTCAGAAAATGGGCTACACATTATGCTAGGCATTGTTCTAAGCCATGAGAATACACAGATGTGTAAGTCCTAGTCCTGCCCTCAAAGAGCTCACCGTCCATTGGGATAGGCAAGGAGACAAGCAGTTGCCCAACAGTCAGATGACTTTAGTTGTGAGATGACAGGGAGCCCATGCATTTACCTCACCTTCTTCCCCAAATCCCATTGAAATGGCCAAATGATGATCACAACTTAAAAAAACAATTCTGTATTAGCTCTAGAGCATAGTAGGTTGGGAAAAATGAGATATTTCCATAAAATACAGTACAGATGGAATCAGACTGAAGGAAGTACTGACCATTCCACAGTTTAGGAAGTGAGTTGGCTGGACTCCCCAGCTGAGCCTCAGGAAATGCCCCATCTTAGAGCAACCAGGGCTATGAGTGAGAGTGGGCAGCTGAAGGAAGCAAATCAAAGGACCCCAGTCTATGCCTGCTCCAAGCAGTCCATTGAATGCAGCTGGGGACATTGCTGCAATGAGCTTCCAGTTCAGGTCCTGGTTATCCTCCAGCTCTCCCAACAACGTACAGAAAAGAAGTCTCTCAACCAAGGAGTTAACCTCCCTGCTACACGGTGGCCTTTCATGTACTAGATTGTTATGTTTATAACTAACATTTGTTGAGTGTTTCCCCTTTATTGGACATTGTGCTAACCTGTCTACTTAATTTATCTTAATCTTAACATAAGCTCTTGTAGTAGGTACTGCTATCCCCCTTTTACAGATGAGGACTCTGAGGCACAAGGAGCCGCATCACTTGCCTACAGTGCGAACCTTCTCTGAGCCTCTGCTCCACATCTGCATCAGTGGCGTCCATCTCACAGGGCTGTAGGGAGGATGGTGTAGGCTCATGCCTGAAGGAATGTTCTGTCACAGAGTAACCACCCAAGAGACATTAGCTCCCGTTATTATATAGAGACACAGCAGGAGACTAAGTCTTGTCACATAGCAAGGACAAATGTAATGTATTAATCTCCCTTAGATGGAATTCCACTCCACCTAAAATTTGAATGTTTTGTAGGAGAAAATTTAGTGTATGTAAAAGTTCCTTAGGAGGCCTAAGTCATCTCCTGGCATGGTCAGAGAGCTGGAGGTCCAAGAAATGTCCCTTCTCTTCCAGGCTTACGAGGCTTGATGCTGTCCACACTATGCGCCTCTCTCATGTCCTCCCTGACTTCTGTTTTCAACAGTGCCAGCGCTCTGTTCACACTAAACATCTATACCCAAATACGGCCTGTGGCCACTGAAAAGGAACTCATGATAACAGGAAGGTGAAGTATTCCTTTAATTAGATTAGTTACTGCTGTTAAGGAAACGATGCCCACAAAATGTTGTTACATGAAAAATGTAGGCTGTAATGCTGTATATAGAATTATGTTGTTTATATAAAGTCTGTTTTTTGTTTTTTGGGGTTTTTTGCTGTAGTTTTGCGATGATGTATTGCTTTGATAATCACAAAGAAAATCATTTCCATTTGGGAAAAATAAAGTAATCACAATGATAAAAATGAGCATAGTTTAATGTACACCCCCCCCCATAGTCCTTTTGGGAAAATTTACATACATTATCTCACTTTCTCATTTAATCCTCATGACAACCATTGAAAGGTAAGTTGCTGTTCTTATTCTCATTGAACAAATGGCACAGTATTGGCTCAGAGAGGGGAATTGATCTACCTGAGATCACATAGTAAGTAGGGGAGCTTGTCCATCTCAGGGACATGCCATCAACCACGATGCTACATGGCACCTGCTAGGTCTCTGTCTTTAAAGGGCTTATTCCACAGGGTTTTACATTGGCCGCCCATGAGCCACATCCAGCCCACACACCTTTAACTTGGCCTACCTTATGTCTAAAACACTGCCTTTATCTCTCATCAAGTTGCATATCAATTGTCTATTTTATCTGTCTAACCTCTGCAGGTGTTTGAATTTGCCTTTACTGTTAGCATTATATGATTTACAAAGTCTTTTTCTGAGAAATTTTAAGAGACAGATTTCAGTTTTATTTAAATTGTTAGAGAATATAGAAGAAAACGAAGACAGATTCATTTTATGAAGCTCAAGATATTGATGCCAAAAGCTAACAAATATAGCACAGAAAAAGATTAAAACTAAATACTAATCTCACCTTTAAATATCAATGTAAAAATTGTAAATCAAATGCTAGACACAAATCCAACAATACACTAAAAGAATGTTAAAAAGAATGATATCTCATTACCAACTGTGATTTTTTCCAGAAATACAAGGATGATTCAATATTAGGAAATGTAGTAATATAACTCACCATATTAACAGATCAAAAGAGAAAAATCACATGCGTCTATTCACAGATGATGAAAAGGTATTTGGTAAAGTGGACACTTAACAATATGATAAAACATATTTATATCACCCTAAAAGCCTACATCGTGCTTAATGAAGAAACTAGAGAGAAACAAAGCAAGAATGTTCCCCCTCACCATTATATTTATATAGATAGATTTAGAGATAGATAGATAGATATAAAAATAGATGCACAGGTGATGTTAGCAGGCAAGGACTTTAAAATAAGCATGATTCATATGCAGAAGAATATAGAGGGAAAGATGTACAAAATAAAGCTCTGTAAGAAAGCACAGGACAACATTTTCTTGACCTTGGAGTATGCAAAGTTCCCTTAAACATGATGTGAAGGAAGCTAACCGTGAAGAGGGAAGTGCCATCTTGGACCCACATTAAGAATGTTAATATAAGTGCAGTTATATGGTTTATGCTCTTTTGTGTCTGGGTTTTACATAATGTTTTTGAGATTCATCTATGTTGTTGCATGTTTCCATGATTTTTTTTTCTTGTAAAGGTTTAGTATTCCATCATATGAATGTACCGCAGTTGGTCTAGCCATTCTGTTGATGGGTATTTGGGTTGTTTCCATTTGGGGCTTTTAGGAAGAAAGTTGCTATAAATGTTCTTGTAGGTTTTTTGTGGACATAAGTATCAGCTTGTCCAATCTTTCCCCATACCCCTTTCTCTCTCCCTCCCCCCTCTAATTACCCCATTTTCTTCTCTCCTTCTGAAAGAATAATGGTTACTCTGTTGATTTGTTGCCTAGATGATCTGTCCAATGCTGAGAGGTGTGATCAGGCCCCCCAATATTATCATAGAGCAGATGCTTTTTCTGTCACTCTACAATGGGCTTTGTGGAGAGAGACGTCCTCTTCTTTATCTCTGCTGGTGACTCCCCTTGTGTCAATGCACTCCAGTGGCTGGCAGACCATCTGCATGGTGGTTGTGCCATCTAGCTGCTTTCACGGCAGCCATCATTATAGTGGTGGCTGTGGTGGGCCACCCACATGGAGGTGATGTTTTTGGTATACTCTTTGGTGCTGGTGGTGTGCCTGGTTGTGGGAGTGGGGTCTGGTCCCCAGCTCCAAGCCTCATGTCCCCTGGTGGGCCCCAAGGCGCTGGTAGTGTGCCTGGGCTGGAACTAAATTTTTGTGCTTTGCTTACTTCTAAAACGGGGGAACTTCCTATGGGAACCAGTACTTGAGCTGTGTTGAGCTAAATTGCTGCTTTGCTGCTGTTTCCTTAGGGAAGGCTTTTTGTGCAGCTCAGGGTTTAATGGTTGACCTTATAGGTACTTCCTGCTCTCTAGAGACTCGGTACACCTGGGTTGTGTAGAAACTCTGATCTGGGCCTGAGTTTTTTCATCAAACTGCACCCCATGCAATTCTGCATTCCTGACTAGTCTCCTCTGAGTGGTCCTGTGCTGATTGGGGGACAGATTGGCTGTCCTTGCTGTGTCTCAGCATTCTACCAGTGGGCCTGTCTCCCCCAACGCCCTTGCTCCAAACACTCCCTGTGAGACAGTCCCTAGGACGGGCCCTGCGCCAGTCCTTTGCAAGGACTCACCTGCTTCTGAATGGCTCCCCTTTTCCAGCTGTTCTGGCTCCTCACTCCTGTGTGGGTCCACAGGAACCCCGTTAGTGATCTTGCTGTCCTGGGGGCCACCAAGGTCCTCTTCTCCCCTGCCGCCTCCAAGTAACTCCATCTGAAGAGCACAGCTGCAGCTTCTGCCGGCTCCTGCTCCATGCGCTCAGCAGCTCCAGCATTAAAGTGGCTGTGGCTGAAACACTCAGAGCAGTTTTTTCTTTCTTTCATTGTGGTTTCTCCTGCCTTCATGAACTCCGTAGGTCTCTCCTCCTCTTCCTCTGAGCTCCAGCAGCCACACCTTGGCTGATGTTACATTTTTATAGTTGTAAATTGGTTGATTTGTGGGAGAGAGTGACTCGTATAGCATACATTATACGAAGTTATACGACAGAACAGAAGAATTATGGGCTGAAAGGACAACCGTGGATTAAGCATCAGTTCTTTTAAAAAGGGCTATCTTGGTCACATCAGGGACTCCACAGCCAGAGCCCTGGATGCAATTTGGAAAAACACTAGAGACAGATGGCTGGCAGGTGCTCAATGAATATTTTTGAATGGATGTATTAATTTATCCAAAGAGTCATTGTAGCCCACTGGAGAGGCCCAAGATCTGTGGAGACTATGTGCCTCATGGTACCAGTGCATGACCCAGCAGGCAGGCCTCGCCACCACCAGACTCCATCTCCAGCCCAGGCGAGTGCATGCCGATCAGAGAGGTGCCCTGCCAGAGAGGCCTGAGATCCATGGAGACTACGCGCCCCACAGTGCCAGCGCACGACCCAGCAGGTCCCTCGATGCCACTGGACTCGATCCCCAGCCCAGCCGCATGTGCACCAACCAGAGAGGTGACTCCCTGAAGAGGGCCAAGACCTGAGGCAACCATGCACCCGAGGTGCCAGTGGGCAACTGAGCACACACTGAAGCAGCTGTGACTCTCCCCAGTGCGCCACAGGGCCGGCCGGCCCTTGACCGGAACTCTTAAGGTGCCTCTTCATTCTTGATATTGATAATTTGTTGGGGTTTTTTTCCTCTTGGTCAAACTTGTCTACGGGTTTATCAATTTTAATAATCCTTCCAAAGAACTAACTTTTGGGTTTCTTGTTTTGTCTTTTTCCCACTGATTTCTATTCTTCATTATTTCTTTTTTTCTATTTACTTCGGATTTACTCTGATCTTTTTTCTAACTTCTTAAAGTGAAAATATCATTGGTTTAAAACCTTTCCTATTTTTCACTATAACCACTTAAAGTTATAAATCTACCTCTAAGCCTTTCTTTAGCTGTGTCACACAAATTTTGATATGTTTTATTTTCATTTTCATTCAGTTCAAAGTATTTTCTAATTTCCTTGTGGTTTTTTCTTTGATCCATAGATTACTCAAAAGTGTACTGTTTGATTTCCACCTCTTTGGGGCTTTCCTTACTATCTTATTTATATTGATTTCTAATTTAGTTCCACCATGATCTAAGAATACACACAGTGAGATTTCAAACTTCTAAAATTTATTGATACTTTTGTATTCTTGCTGAATTTTTCTCTACTTCTTCTAATGTGTGTGTATGTGTGTGTGTGTGTGTCACACAAACATTCAGTATCTTCTGTATGTGAGATTTCAAACTTCTAAAATTTATTGATACTTTTGTATTCTTGCTGAATTTTTTTCTATTTCTTCTAATGTGTGTGTATGTGTGTGTGTGTGTGTCACACAAACATTCAGTATCTTCTGTACTGAGAGAAAAGTCTTAAATTCTTCAGTTATGATTGTGTAGTTATCTATTTCTCCCTCCCTGTAGTTCTGTAGTTCTTTTTTTCTTCATATATTTTGAAGTGCTGGTAGTAGGTACTTACACATTTATTCTTGTTATTGCTCCCAGAGAAATTAACCCTTTCATCATTAAGAAACGTCTCTTTATTATCTCTGATAATACTCCTTGTCTGGGTACATTGTTATTAATATAGCCCACCCAGCTTTTTTATGCTTAGCGTTTGTAACGTTTTTTACTTTTAACCTGTGAATTTATTTAAAGTGAGTGCCTTTTAGACAACATATAGTTGGATCTTGGTTTTTTATCTAGGCTAGCAATCTCTGCCTTTTGAGTGTTTATTCCATTTTGCATGTAATATAATCATTAATGTGCCTGGAAATAGTTTTTAATATCCCATTTTAATTTGTTTGGTTGCTCTGGAGATTACAATATGCATTCTGAACCTATCGCAGTCTACGTAGAGTTAACTATGTAAGGTGTAAGTACCTTGCAGCAGAATACACTATTTTCCTTTTTCATCTTCTGTGTTATTTTTATGTATGTTACATTTACATGCATAATAAACTCCACAATACAATGATAGCAATGTCAT